TATCTGTTCTAGACTTTAAACTCCAAAAAGGCTGTCCTTCTGTTGTTGTTTTTGTTCATTAGTACAACCTCCATGCCTGGCATGGAGTGTGTGCTTAAAATATTGGTTGAATGAATAAGGGTAGAAATTCTTCAAATCAGATACATCCACCGGAGCCTCTGCCCTTTTCTACTCTAAGAAAATGCTTTGAAGAGCATGGACAGTCTCTTATATAACCTTCTCTAAATGTCTCCTACAGTAGGGAGGGCAAATACAAATGCCCTCAATTACTAACAGTGAGAGATGAAGAAGTACTCACTTGCTTTGCCCCTCAGTCTCTACCTTTCCAATGATTCCTAGAATAACTGCCTCAAAGGGTATGTTTATTTATTCATCCAACCATCCATTCATTCATTTATTCAGTAAATGGCATTTCTCAAGGTGAGGTCCTAGGACCAACTGCATGGAAACTGCCTGGCTACTTATTAGTGATGTAGCTTCCTAGCTCCTATGAGAAGATTATAAAACTAAAATCTCTTTACATGCAATTTTCATTTTGACAAGTATTATTAGTGATTCTTATGCACCTTTAAGTTGAGAGCCAATGGGTGTCGTGGGTTGTGATGATTGAACAAGATGCTCTATATAAAGGATTTGGGAGCCATTTTATAGCACAGAGCCTGGCACATGGTTGGTGCCACACACCAGTCCATCTTTCCATCTACTTAACCATCTGTCTCCCTAACCATCTATCTTTCTCCATCTTTTCTAATATAGTACTTTCATTTCTCCATCTGATTCCATCCTATTCTTCTCTTCTATTTGCTTTTCCCATCTTATCTTAAACTAGAGGCTCAATGCACTAAATTCGTGCAAGGGGCTCGACCCTCGCAGCCATGGCTCTCAAAGCTGTGGCGGCTTGCCTCACAGGAAGGTTATCCAGAAGGACATCTAGAAGGTCGTTCGGCTGTCTGGTCTAATTAGCATATTACCCTTTTATTATTATAGATATCTTACTCTGCCCAAAACTAACAGGAGGTCCATCACTGAACTAAGTGATGAGAGAAATATAGAAGACAAAGACCTGGTTCTCAGGGCGCTCCAAGCAAAGAGAGGAGATATGGAGCTCCACAGATGTATACAGATGTGTGGGCACATCTGGCCCATGAGCCTTGACCTGTGCAAATAGCCCCTCCTCTGCTCTTTTCTCCTATCCCAGGAAGCCTAGTTCCAAGCTCCCCCAAATGACTCTAGCTCTTGTTCTCAAATTTCTCCATCCTGTGCTTCTTTGTCACTTGGAAGTAGACACAGTCATTCATTCACCACATCCCACCTGGGCATTCAGAACTTCCTCCTCAGGGTAATCACAAGATAAGATTAATTATGCTAATCAGCCTCTGCAGGCTGACACAATTAACCAGAGCATGAGATAGCTCCAGAAACCTGTATAGGAGCTGCCTACCTGCTGGGTTTCATTTCACCATCCAGCACAGTAACTAGAGGGGAGAGGTGGGTGGTGCGGTGAGAGGAGTTTGCTCTTTTCAACTAAGGAGCACGTTGCTCCATCTTCCAATGGAAGTTGCAGGAAGTTTTCCATGGACTGTCTAGCCATTTAATTTCCCCTCTTCAGACCTGCCACTGGACATCTTCTTGGGGTTAAGTACCAGCACAGTAGCCATTTTTTTCTTAATGGTGGTACAAAATGAGGTGCTTGTATTTTGATACATTTTTAAATCCTTTTCACTCCCCTATCTACTCTTAAGCACCTTTAGTATTTTAAATATATATTTTTCTTTAATATAAGAGAAGTTGGCCCTGGCTAGTGTGGCTCAGTTGGTTGGGAATCATCCCATGCACCTAAAGGTTGATAGTTCAATTCACTGTCAGGGCACATGCCCCTGTTGTGGGTTCAGTCCCTGGTTGGGGGTGTGCAGGAGGTAGTTGATTGATGTTTCACTCCCACATATCTCTCTCTCTCTCTCTCGCTCTCTCTCTCCCCCTTTTGTGCTAAAAATCAATAAAATATCATGTGTGTTTTTTAAATAAGAGAAGTTGCAAAAACTTTAGATCAAGCATCTCTAACATGAGAGCATCCCTAACATGAGTTTCAGGGAGTGCTAGTTCTGCAAGTTGCCTTGGGATAAAAGTTTACAGTTCAAGTTTGGGAAGCCCGAATTTCTTTATCCCCTCTTGGAGAGCCATGATCAACATTAGCATATTAAAACTCTTAAATTTCTGAAGCAAAGAAAACATGTTTAACTACAGTTAAATGAAGATTTCCCAAATTTATTTTATCATATATTTTAGTTTTTCTCTCAAAGGTGACCTAAGATAAGGATTTGAGTACAGTTAGTTGAGAGACAATTTCAGAAAACAAAAGTGAGGGGATGGGAACAGTGAGGCAAGTTAGGAAAGAAAGACAATCAAGAGGTATTAATGAGCTCATTACAGCTATAAACAATCGGGATTTAGTTTTGCTAAGAGCTCTCTAAAGATTCATGTAGAATGCACCACAGAGTTGTCGTGCTTGAGGATAGAAAAGATTCGGCATTCATCCACTGACTCACATCCCTTATTGTTTGGGAGTTGCTCTAAGGGACTTTAACCTTGGTGTACTACTGAGTTCATCAGTTGATAAGCCTTCTCCAGCTTTGGAAAAGCAGACTGGAGAGATTCCGTGACTCAATATGGCAATGGTTCTCAACCTGTGGGTCAAGACCCCTTTGAGGGTCAAACAACCATTTCACAGGGGTCGCCTAAGACCATCGGAAAACACATATATAATTACATATTGTTTTTGTGATTAATCACTATGCTTTAATTATGTTCAATTTGTAACAATGAAAATACATCCTGCATATCAGATACTTACATTACGATTCATAACAGTAGCAAAATTACAGTTATGAAGTAGCAACGAAAATAATTTTATGGTTGGGGGTCACCACAACATGAGGAACTGTATTAAAGGGTCACGGCATTAGGAAGGTTGAGAACCACTGATGTAGATGGACCATTATTTATTCAACTTGTCCCTTTTTGATGGACATTTGCTTTGTTCCTTACATAGAAACAAATTTCTTATATGTGCTATTCTATCATAGGATTACCAAGGGTAGGATTGATTGGCGAAAGGGTGTATTCATTTTAATCAAAGACTTCCAGATTGTTCTCCATAGAAGCTGCTAAATATTTAGAGTCTACTTCATGTGACAAATGTCTCTGACTTGTACATAGCACAAATTTTAATGAGCATTTGAATTACTTAAAGATTTTGTTAAAAATGCAAATTCTGATTTAACAGAGCAAGAGTAGCCTGAGACTATTTCTAAAGCGCCCTGGGTATGTTGGTAAGTAGGCCATACTGAGTAGTGAGGCACTTACCAGTTACAACCATCCTGTAATCTGGGCAGAGGACTGGATCAGGGAGCTCAACATTCTAAAGAGTACTATACCTCAGGTTCAGCTATTGGACAAGTGTTAGGAGTTCAGGTCGTATTAGTTGCATGAATAGGTGGACATGGTCATCCAATCCCTAGAGCCAACTCTCATATATTTCCTTCCCATCTCTGGTTATGACTCTAGCTGGAAGGAGTGGGTTGCTGCACATACACTGATACCTTACAAAAAATAATGTTCTAGATCAAGTTAATCTAGATAATTAACAATAATGGATCAAATAGAACTAAGTATAAAAGAAAGGAAGCAAGAAAGAGGGTGCATTTCAAGTATGTGTGATGGGTGATATGCAGTGAAAGGCCACTTCAAATAGGCAAAAGAACTCCATCCATATTCTTGTCCCACCACTTGTTTGAGACTGGCCCCACCACTTGTTTGTGTGTGTGTGTGTGTGTGTGTGTGTGTGTGTGTGCTTAAAATATATATATATTTTTTTATTTCAGAGAGGAAGGGAGAGGGAGAGAGAGACAGAAACACCAATGATGAGAAAGAATCATTGATAGGCTGCCTCCTGCACGCTCCCTACTGGGGACTGAGCCCAAAATCCAGGCATGTGCCCTGACCAAGAATTGAACTGTGTCGCCGAAACCGGTTTGGCTCAGTGGATAGAGCGTCAGCCTGCGGACTGAAGGGTCCCGGGTTCGATTCCGGTCAAGGGCATGTACCTGGGTTGCGGGCATATCCCCAGTAGGAGATGTGCAGGAGGCAGTGGATCGATATTTCTCTCTCATCGATGTTTCTAACTCTCTATTTCTCTCCCTCCTCTCTGTAAAAAATCAATAAAATATATTTTTTTTAAAAAAAGAATTGAACTGTGACCTCCTTGTTCGTAGTTTGAGGCTCAACCACTGAGCCACACCAGCCAGGCACTCCCACCACTTGTTTTTATAAATGAAGTTCTATTGGAACCCAGCCACATTCATTTATGTATTATATTGTTTATAAAGATGGTGTTTGTTATGTGTTGTATTGGTTATATAACTGCCTTTGTGCCTCAATGACTAAATTAGGTAGTTGCCATAGAGATTATTTGGCCAGCAAGACTTACATGTTTACTAGCTGACCCTTTACAGAAATTGCCCATCTTTTTTCCACAGGAGAAAATTGGATGCTAGTTTATGGAAATTGACACCCTCCCATCTTTTGTGCTTACATTACTCTGAGCAGTGTGCAAACTAGATATGGTGAGACCGCAATATCATGGTGATCTTATGGTGAGACCTTTTAAATACTGACCACAGTAAATATGAGGATAAACTGGTGTTCTCTTTCTTATAGTTGAGCAGATCATACATGTGCTATCCCACAACACTTGGATCATCTCTCAGTAGGGAAGTGACTAACTAGAATTTCTGTTTCTGTGTAGTTCATGGTCCTGGCAGAAACTATTTATTTTCTCCCATTTGCCCAGTAGCTGCCTGGAATTCACGTAAGGTGATAAAGCATCTCGGGGGAGGGGGGGGGAGGTTGTAACTTTTCCGTTCAACACACAGATTATCATAAACTTATACTATGTCAGACATTGTACAGGATACAGGGTGTGAGTAAGACACAGTGACAGCTGCAAGATAGTTAGATGTTTACCTTAAATAGAAACTTATTTCCTCATCACAGCAGTGAAGTTGGGCTACATCTTGGACTCTAATCAGATATCTGTTTACTTCTGATAGAATCTATGAAATAAAATAAAATTAGAAACATACATACATTTTTAGAAAATAAAAGGCCCCACTACTGCAGAACCATTTTGTATCCCAGAATATGCAAGTGTTGAGTAGAACTCAGTTCAATTATAAAAAAGCCAATGATTTTGTTTATAAAATAGGCATTCTTTAGATAAAGACCACAGAATTAACAATGAAAACTTTATTTTAGGGTGTTGTCTAATTTCTTAAGCTACTGAAATTGTTTTATTTATAAACATTTTCTTAGCATCAAAAATAAAGTGGAAGTGGGGTGAAAAAGAAGTAAACTATCAAGAAAAGGAAGGGAATGAATTGTTACAATTTAAGAAGCCAGGCCTTTGCCCTGATGTACGGTAGCCATGGAGATGGTCACTTGGTGTGAACAGTCATCTAGAGATGAGGTTCCATGGACTCTGTGAGTTCCAAGATTTTGAACTTTTTGTATTTCAATCAACTCCACTTCATTTTCCCTACCAAAATATGCAGATCTAAGTTACAACAAAATAACTCCATCTTGCTTCCCCAATTTGACCAAGTAAAAATAACATCTCCAATCAATTAATAATTTAATTCAATATAATTCATGTACCGAGCTCCTGTTATATGCCAAGCGCTAGAAGACAAGTAAAACGTAGCTCACACCTGATAGAGTTCCCAGTCTGGTGAATAAAGGATTGTAATAAAATGTGACAGATGTTCAAGGTCCTGCAGGAGACCCAGAAAGGGGCAATTCCCAGCAGGAGATGGTGGGAGCAACTACAGGAAGATGATGATTGAACTGGATTTGTAAAGGATGAATAGGAGTATATCCAGCAGGGTAGGAAAGAAGGTTATTTTCAAGAAAGAGTATGGGCAAAGCACAACTGTGTGAGGAGAGGCTAACATTACTGGAGAATCATGAGTAGATCTGTATGGTTGGCTCATAAAGTGGTAGGCAGGGCAGTAAAAGAAAAGATAGAATGGGACCAGGTGATATTCTGTAGGTAACAGCCAACAGAGGGCTTCTAAGATTTTTCAGGTATCCTCAGTGTGCAAGATCCTAACCAGGTACTCTGCATAGAGAAATATGAAGCAATAGAATACATAGCCCTTTCCTCAGAGGGGGTCATGATCACAGTAGTACCACGAAAGGAGCTAAGGGATGGGGTCAAGCCCACGTAGCATCCTTGCAGATAGAAGGATGTGAAATATGAGGGTTTGGCAGCACCAGGCACACAGCAGGCATTCAACAGAGGTTAGCTGATTGGATATCTGAATGTCTCCTGTTGCCAATGATATGAGGTTTTATCCATGAGCATGAGATGTAGCAAGTACATCAGAATACGTACAGGGCACCCCCAGATGATTCTCTGTATGTCTGACAGCTGATCTTTCATATTGATGTTTTGCTTCATCTAGAAAACAAAGTGATTTTAAGGGAAATAAAATTGTGAAATGTGTAAACATAAATGGCACTTGATACAGGGCTTGCTATTTCCATACATTATAATAAGAATCTAATTTCATAGACCCAGTGTTTTAAAACAAAGAGGCAAATGACAAGACTGTATTCAAAAAGCATCTTCTGGGCAGAATATGTCATCAGTTTACACTCAGCCTGGACCTGTGCAGGGTGCTCATCACAAAAATTGTTCAGAACGATAGTACCACACTCAGATGCTGACTTAGTTCAGGAAATCTCATACATTAAGTTCTTTCAGCAAAAAAGGATTTTACTTTTTTATTTTAGTCCTCTAGAAAAATCAATCCAAATACCCCATTCTTCACACTTTCATACTGATAAAGCTTTTCTTGTACTTGTATAGTTATATGAAAACATTCTGTCTCATGTTGCTTGGTTTAAAATAGATGCCTGTAGTGCTCCAAGTCTCTGAACACAACAATTTCACATGCAAAGGCTGAAGAATTTGAGTGAGACTACCAAAAAAGCATTGTGGCGTTTTTAAGGACACAGATTCTTGTCAGCAACCAACCTGATCTATATAACCTTTATATGTTTTCATTTGGTCAATTGCAGTGGTCAAGTCCCCACGGTCAGCATGTTCTGCAGGAGTATGAAGCCTCAGAGCATAGAGAAGATGAACATACTCATCAAATCTTCGGGACGGGTACAGGAGCAGCTCCGGCAGGCTGTGTGGGGCACAGAGAAAGGAACCTGGTCTCTTTCCGAAGGTCAAAGAAGGCCCTGCCTTTGGGGTGCCTCAGCTGTGCTCTCCCTCAGAACTTACCTCAGCATTTTGGTGACAATGGTTTTATCATGCCTCTTCAGGAAAGCTCGGAATGCTGGTACCATCTCTCTGCACTAAAGGTGAGCATAATATTGTCAAAACTTCGCTCTGTGCGACAGTTGTAAAGCATTCTGTTACACCGGGCAGACATGATCTATGAAGCTCTCAAAGCAAGAGGGCAACATCTACTTCTAGTCAAAGTACTATTAGTACTTACTAATATAATGTACTAAGTATAGTGATTTATTCATACCATAGAGATAACCCTGTTCATTGAGCTTAATCAGTGTTGACAAATGAAAACAGACTTTGCAACCAGGGAGGCCTGGATTAGAATTCGAATTCTAATCTAATTCTACCTCATTCTTTGTGAACTTGTTAAGTTACCTAACTCCCTGAGCCTCAGTTTCCTCATGGATATCATACCTAACACTTGTGAAGGAAAAATAAATCCTGTCCACAGCATGCTTGTTGCACAGTGTTATTTCCTTGTAGTAAAAGACAATTGATGGTATTCACCTATAATACCTGCTGCTAATCATTATAAAGGTGTTCCATTGTATTTAACATCTGCTTTAAAGTGTATTCATTCATCACCAGTAAAGTGCCCAGGAAGTACCCATTTTTCTCAGTGGGGACATGCCTAAAAGATGCCAATAATGCTAATTTCTAGAAATCAAATAAATACTGACTGATTTCAATAAGAGTAATAGCTAACAGTTATTGAGTACTTAAATGCACACCCTATTTTAGTGAGCCAGATATCGTTATAATCCACAACTATAAAAAATTTGGCACAAATCTGTTTCTGATAATATGTCACACTTTACTCCAATTCTTATCCTCATGGTCAGTTCTATGAAATTGCCTTATTTGTGCAATTTTCACCCAATACATAATTAGTATGTCTAGCAGTGTTAAACTCTCTGAGCAGGGTGAAGGTGTACCATAAAGGGAGGTGCTCAAGGTCAGGAAACGGCCCCGGGGGGCTCAGTGTAGCCAGGGGGACACAGTCGAAGCAGCCACTGGCAGAAGTGTGCCCCAAGTCTCAAGGTAGCTCTTCGGCTGCACTTCTGATACAAATTGAGGAGGGAAGAAAGGGCTCTTACTGCCGTTAGAAGAGATCCCAACCAGAACAGCAAGGGATGCAGAGGGAAGCGAATATTCCTGCTCAACTACGGATGGCACAAGTCACAATGGACTTTCTGAGAAATGTACGACAAAGAAATTCCTTATGCATAGTGAAATTTCACAGACTGAGTAGCCTTACCCCAAGAAACATGGACAATTAATTTCTTTTCTTTATAAGACAGCCACCTTTGTCAAGGTCACACAGGTTTGTGGGGGCAAAGTGGGATCGGAGCTCACGGGCGCCACTGTATCTAACAAACATTTCCCTGTAAGTGACCCACAGGGTATCTGCAGCTAATGGAAGTCTGGCAATTTGCATGAGGATTAGTTCAGTCCAACGACCAGTTTCTGGGCCCTGCTTTGTCAAGCACTGTGCTTGCCACTCGTGACACAAAATTAAATGTCGGGTCCCCGTCCTCAGCATACACAGTAAACTGGAGGCGTGGGTCTGGAAGCCAAGGCCTATTAGTCTTAGTTCTTTGGATTGCACACAGCACTTCCTTTCAAGTTCAGGTCTCATAAATGCCTGATGGTAACTCAATCATTTACCTTCTCAATGGTTTTCAGAACAACAGGGTAATTGTTGAAGAAATTGGTATATGTGTTCAGCTGGCTTCCAAACTTTAAGAATATTTCTCCCACACAGTGAGCTGGGCCCCATTCCTGTAGTCTGTCTCTCAGGTTATCTAGAAACTGCCTGCAAGACGGGAAAGGCATGACCATGAAATATTGGCCAGTGATAACCTATAAACTTAACAAATGAATCAGTTTGCTGCTTGCTTCAGCCGAGTCATTTTATGGTTGGGCTTTTGTTGCATACTTTTGTGCTAAGACAGAGCCGTACAGATTCGACAGGACAGGAGGAGCTGGGAAGAGAGGAACTAGGCTGAGTGTGGGGGAATCCCACCTCCTCACCTTAATCCCTTGAGGCTGAACCCCACGCTGGCCTCCATAGGCTGCCCCTGACTCTCCCATTCCCACACGGCCAGGCAGGCAAAGAAGGTTTCTTACAGTCCCCAGAGCAGAGTGCTCAATTCATTTTAAATGGCCATAATCTTCCCTCAGGCCATTTCCCTGTAAATCTAAGGTTGTCCTTCATTCAGCCATCACAGGCCTTGAAAACAGAACAGGCCTCGTTCAACCTCTTTATTTTGTAGGAGTTGTGCCCAGGGAAGGTAAGGAACTTGTTCCCAGTCATCTGGAACAAGCATGTCAAACTCGCGGCCCAGCCAATATAACAGTATGTAAGAAATGGCTTAATAAAAATTTCCTAGCTTAATTTTTACAATATCCTGTTACACATAATTATTAATAACAAACTACAACATTCACTAATGACTGATTACTATAATCGTGTTGCATTCATTTCCCTTACGCGCCTCACGCGCAGGCACACCATTTCTCTCCACTAATACTAGCAGCAAACATGTTAGCAGCCGATGGCCAAGTCATTAGTCTTGGACTGACTTGTTTGGTGTGCACAACAGGAAATACTTTGCTTTTGGAGAACAAGAAAAATAGGCTTATTTGCATTACGCTTATTAATTTGTGCAGTTATTCAGTTCTGGTAAGCTAATGTTTAAGAAAAAATATTAATTTTTATTAAAATGTTCTATTATTTTATGTTAACAGTTACTCATTTATTTCAGCCCTTTGTATTCAGCATGTCTCTATCAAAATAAACCTACATTTCTATGAAAATTAAAGCTTTTGTTTTTTTTTCGACCCACATAGACTTAAACCTTGTTTATTTGGCCCATGTTAGCCTTTGAGTTTGACATGCTTCTTCTGGAAGGTTACTGGCAGAGAACCACAAGCTTAGTTTGTCTTTACCACAGATCAAATGATCACTTCCTCTGTGTGCTATGACATTCTCAAAACATCTACTGTTATTAAGCTGAACATGGGTTCTCCAAGCAAAATATCCTAGTAACTTAGTCCCTTCAAATCCTTCAGTTTCTTTCTCATTGCTCAACTAAACATACTGTCTTGTCTTTTGCATGAACAATAGGTTGAATACAAAACCACCTGGCACTGACCTCCACTCCTAGTACCAGGGGTTTGAACTGAGGCAGAGATCAGCCCCTGAGAATCATCACTACTGGTTGCAGCCCAGTGGCAAAAATTCTCTCTCTTCTGTGCAATAATCAGGGTCCCCAGGAGAGGCAGAGACTGCCTGAGCCTCGGTCCAGGTAAGTGTGGGTTCCTCCCACTACATAGTATTTCAGAAAATATGTATTCAGGAATTACCTGTTGAGACTTAAAACCTGCAGGATATCAGAGAAAATGATCTGGAGGTTTGCAGCACTCAGAATTGCTCTGTTTGAGGACAGCGCTGCTCTTAGTGGTGCAACATAAACATCCCTCACAATTTCCAGCATCTGCACGTATTTTCTCTCACTCTGTAAGAGTTCCCCGGCAACTCTAGTTCGTTTTGCGGCCCAGTCCATCTGGAGCTTTCTCTCCTGTAGAAAAGCATTAAGAACTCAGAAAGCATAGTGATCCTTTCCAGGCTTACAGCCCCCCAAAGCCTGAAAGTGGAGGGAGACAGAGCAATGGAAGTACTAGCAGTCGGGCAGTCACTCTGAGATGGCCCTGGCTGGTCTGTGACATGCAGGATTGAAGGGAATTTTTATAGGGGACTATGGACGACCTCGCTGAACATCTCTTGTCCCTAGTGTCGCCAAATAGCCCCTCCCACCGGGCCAGTGTGATGCTGTGGTAGAGATGGGACTTTACTCTTGGATCCTGAGAGGGCAGATTAAGACTTTACTTTTCTCAATCTGTCCTTTGAATACATGCTGTGTCCTGTGCTAGCTGCTGGCTGCACAGTGATGAGAAGACAGCGTCCTGCCTTCGTGCTTGGTGAGGAGGCCTTTGGGTTTCCCACTCTTATTTGTGTGTGCTTTCCCCCAGTAGTGTTTTATTGATTATCCTGCAGACAGGAGACTGAAATGAGCTAGCCCTCTCATTATCAAGTAATTTGCTTCCCACAGGCATGTTGTGAAATATGGAAACTCATGCTCTTCTTTCAGTATTTAGGGAAAAGCACCTAACTTGGGAACTGTGAACCCATCTTCCCTGGGTAGCTAGGTTCCCAAATGTCCTGTTTCCTATATTTCAAAGTCTTGTTTTCTTTTCTTAATGCAGAGGGAAAAGTCATACACTGGTGTAAAGAAATTCCACACCCTATTATTATGTGTGCTATGTGTATATTTGGAGAAATTAGTTTTCATTCCTGGGAATAGGTAATTCTTTTCCTTTTATCTGTACTTTTCAAAAGTTGTAAAATGAGCAGTGCCTTTACAAAAGAAAACAATTATAATATTTAAATTTTTAAAATTTAGTTGGCTTGTATTTGAGCCTAGAACTATTAATACTCTTAGAACACAATTTCCTCTTTCCATTCCAGCCCTTAGTATACCCCAAGCCCCAAATAAAATGACAGGAGTAAAGCCTAGTGCCATACAATGTTCACTCAAAGCAAGTCAACCAGAAGTTTATGAACTAAAATTAAAATGGAAAAGTAACTTAAGAGAAAAATTAGAAAACTCTCTGTTTGTAATACTATAAACACGCAGTTCTATGTTAATTTTATCTTTCAAACACATGGTCTGTACATAATGCCTATTTAGATATATCTAATGAGTTAAAAAATACAACTGCTTCCAATTTGAGGATTGGCTTGCAGCCCATATTATATTTTTATGTGTATTTGCATATTTTTAATTCATTGGGGCCATCCAACATTTATAATGATTTTGACTTAAAGTTTCAGTTGTCAAACTTTTTGTAGTCTTAAGACTGTTGTCAGGTATTTATTTCCCAATCATACTCTCTGACACCCAGCCAGTGAGGGCTGGTCTGCACTGCAGTAGGTGTACCCACCCAGGTGTTGTCGGCTGAAAAACAGCTTCGGGGCTGAGGTCAGGGCCATGGGATTCAAGTTTCTTCCTGCCAGCTATTGTTGTTTTTTAATTTTAGAGGACGTTTGTTAAAGCTGGGGACAGTGAAACCAGAAAGGGCCAGAGAAAGGTGCCTCAGCTGGGCTGCTTTGGCCATGAAGAAGTCAGAGGGAGAGGGGCCTTGGGGACAGGCTCAGGGGGTTTCCCAGGATGAAATGCTGCTTCCCTTTGCTGTCCTGGTGCAAGCCTCAGGGGTCCCTGAGAGTTTAGGAGATGTGTGCCTCTGGGAAAAGAAGTTTGGGGGCAAGGGGGGGATGTGGGTGTGATCCTGGGAGGGAGAGCATGCCCAGGGACCTTTGTTTTGGGAGGTTTTAAAGGCTGGGTATTTAGGGGAGGATCTTAATAGAATATTCAGCAGCTTTATGCTCATGTACTAAAATGAGGTTTATTCTCTTCATCTGTCCTTGGATATGGTTGGCAAATGTCTGCCAATTATTTAACCTTAGAGGAGTCATTTAAGTCTTCTAACTTTAGTTCCTCATCTACAAAAATGTGATTACTAATATCTATGTTAGAGGATCTCGAGAATGAAATATGATGATAAATGTGGATATGTGTTGAAGAAAAGCAAAACAGCATGCACAGCTGTGTACTGGGCAGGACGGACCAAGGCTCTGCCGTACTGAGCCCTACCGTTCTGGCCTGAGAGACGGAGCCCTAAACGCTATACTGGTTTTACTCAGCGTTTGAAGTCAGACCGTGAATTGGTGGATCGGATAGACTGTAAAACTTTGTGCCTGCACCGTTCCCTTGTGCCTGCCGTCCTCGTGCCATGTTAGCTAGAAAAGCATGGAGTAGCAGAGGTGGCTTTTGTTCCCAAGATGTGATACCTCCATGTCCTCAACTCAACTTCCTTTCAGACCAGGAAATATTCAAAAGAAAAAGCTACAGCCCTAACTGGTTTGGCTCAATGGATAGAGCATTGGCCCGGGGACTGAAGTGTCCCAGGTTCGGTTCCGGTCAAGGGCACATACCTCAGTTGCAGACTCGATCCCCAGTCCTGTGTGGGAGGCAACCAGTCAATGTGTATCTCTCACATCAATGTTTTTCTCTCACTAACAAACAAATAAAAGAAAAGAAAAAGCTACTGACTGGATTCCCCCAATTACATTTGGGAGTTTTTCCTCCCTTTAAATATTTTTACTTTGTTCTTTAAACTTTCAAGAAAAAAAGAACTAACCAGAATAAAGGTGAAAGTGGTTGGATGTTGTTGTTGTAGGGGTTTGTTTGGATTTTTTGCGGGGGGGGGGGGGGGGGTGTGGGGGAAAAGTGGGCCTCAGGAGAAAAACAAGTGGAAAATTTTTATTATGTAATAATTGGCTTACCAGCTGAACCAGCACCTCAACATTTGGATCATTTTTGCCAAGACTTGGTTTTGTGTCCTGAGGATTGTCTTCCAGAACATTTCTTTCCTGAGGATTCAATGCAGACTTGATTACACAGAGCTGGTGCTGTGCCCACAGGAGGCTCTGTGGCCCTGCCTTTCAGCCCTAACTACGGTGTTCTGAGTCAGTGAATCAGCACTGGACAAAATCGATGCCTCTCTTAAAGCAAATGTTATGTGAAAAATAAAAAACCCTTTAGCTTCCTTTGCACTGCATTACGCTTGAGAAAGTAAATTCCGGGCAGCTCCCTTTTCCCCGGGAGCTGGGGGAGTGAGTCTGCTGCTCAGAAGCTCCTCACAGGCAGGGGGTCCCACATGGTCCAGGTAGGCCTCTGCCTCAGCTCTGCTCCTGTCAGTCAAAGGCACACAGGGTACCTGACTTTTATTAAGATGCCAGAAGTCTACACCCATTACCAGGCTCCATGGGGGGGTTGTGTTGGGGCTGGTACCCAAGCCTGTGATCATGCAAGACAGGTAGATGACTTTCTATGGGCATAAAATGGTTCTAAAATGACATTTTTATAGAAATCGGCTCTCTGACAATGCAATTTTCTGTGTTTTCTGAATCCTGATTATTTCACTTAAGAAAGTATGGGTTCTGAATACAGTACTGGCAGAATGATTACTTTTTGCCTGAAGTACTAGCTTCAAACCCACTTTTCTGTTAGGAAATTGAATCTCAACTAAGAAAAGAAGAAGAATTCTTAGTTTCACACACACACACACACACACACACACACACACACACACACACACACACAAACTGTCCTGGGCTGCAAATGAAAAAAAAAACAAAAAAACCCAAAAAACTTTATGTTATCTCGGGACTCAACTGAAAAAGAGCAAAATGCAAATGTCCGACTTTTCCTCCATGACCCAGAGTATATTCTAGTCCAGTGGTCGGCAAACTGCGGCTCGCGAGCCACAGGCGGCTCTTGGGCCCCTTGAGTGTGACTCTTCCACAAAATACCGACTTCTGCGCATGGGCCACGAAGTTTCAATCGCACTGTACATGCGAGCCCGCACGTGGTATTTTGTGGAAGAGCCACACTCAAGGGGCCAAAGAACCACATGTGGCTCGCGAGCCGCAGTTTGCCAACCACTGTTCTAGTCAATGTGGTGCAGCTGATGCTTGTAAGTGGCTTTAATGTCACTCATGATCCTACAAATACCTTTTCAAGAAAATAAAGTTCTTAGAGGAAATGACCAGTTGGAAGACAATAATTATCATTATTGTCTATGAATTTCTCAAGCACATGTGTCTAACTCTACAGCGAAGCAATGGCATAAAAATGCAGCAATAACTTTACCTTCATGTATAAATTGAATGTTGCCTTTGGGTCAGATTTTTCCAGAATAACATTTTCTTCCAAATCTTTGCTCTTTTTACTACATTTCTTCAACAGAAAATATGACAAAAATTCCAGAGGTTTGTCCTGAAAAATCCACACCCCCAACCCCAAAAATTCATATTTAAAGCATTCACTGGAAATATAGGTCAACAAAAGTGCAGTTGAAAAGAGGACAGATTTTTTTCTGGTAGAGTTTTCAGTTTTTTTATGTATAAGTCCAGAAAACAAAGTAATGACTGTTCACGTAGTCAGTAAATGGGACTTCTGACTTCATCACATATTCCAATTACCATCTACACTGTTGGCTCTCAACCGATTGTCACCATTCAGTTAGGTTGCCAAGGCCTCATGGTATGGGTCTCAATATCGTCAGAACCAACGTGGCCCCTATCAGCCTCTTGGCCAGATGAGGAAGGGGACAGGAGGGATCTTGTCCTTCAGGGAAAGAAGGCTTGAGAGAGGCTACAGCAGCTGAATTACTGGGAAAAACA